TATATATATTACAGTTTATTTGTGAAATCAGATGTGTTTTCTCCTCTGTTGTTACATGCATTTTGTTTTTAAACAGTCAGCCCTTACTCAGGGCTGTTAGCCATTATCTACCACAGGTCAGACATTTGCCCTCTCAGCTAATGGCTTCAGTGAATCATAAGGTCACGTAACTAGTGTGCACTTTAGCTGTCTTGTATAACTCTATGGGGCTTCTCTGTAAAACAGGATTTTAGTCACTTTGCTGCTCTGGATCAAACAGGTGAGTTATCAACAATGACCTGAGAGAATCAGCTGCTGCTCAGCAATCTGAGAGGGGTCAAAGGTCATTAAGAGTCCATCATTCTACAAAGACCAGGGGCCTCATGTATAAACGGTGCGTACGCACAAAAAAGTTACATGCGCCAGGTTCTACGCCCACGTTGGAATGTATCAAAATGTTCAAATATGTCAGCCCTTTGGACATTTACCTGTCTAATGAGCCTCAAAAATCTATATTTTTTTGCTAAAAATCCGAAGGCTACCACTCGTACCCGCTCGTGGGGGTGGGGTGGGGGTCTGTACGTGGAGATGACAGCACCTGACGTAACGCAGGAGGGAAGGAGAGAGGAAGAATTGGATAACTTGATGGTTTATTTATTTATTTATTTATTTATTTTTTATGTCCGTTCCATGCCGTGTTCAACTAAATAGACAACAACTAACCAGCTTCAACTTCACATTCAGGAGATGTCTGTAAATTTCAGGAAAATCTCAGGCTTTGGTTATCCTGTGCGAATGCGCCACATAAAACAATGTAACCCCACTCCTTATTTAGACAGTTTTCTAACTCATTCTCCATTTAATGTATAATTTTCCTGCATCTAAAAATCATTTCTGATCCCACAGACAGGAATCGGAGGAGAATCTCACACCTGGACACATTTACATCTATTTTATGATTTAAATGGAGGCGTGTCAGGGGAGGAGTCTCAGGTGTATCAGTTCCACGTTCGTTGGGATGTATAAAGGAAAGGTGCGCAGGAACCTGCGTACACATGGATTAATACATCTGAATATTTTGGTGCGGCGCACTTTTCTAAATTTGTCCGTACGTCAATTTTTAGTGTGAAAGCTGCGCAATCCTTTATGCATGAGGCCCCAGATGAATCACAAGTAGAAAACATTTACAGTATTTTCCGGACTATGAGTCACTTTGGTGTAAAAGTCGCAACAGTCAAAAAATACGTCATGAAGAGGAAAAAAACATAGATAAGTGTCACCTGACTATAAGTCACAGGCATCATTTAGTCTGGAAGAAGCCAGTAACACAGAGAAGATAGCTCCTGCTAAACAGGTGAGAGTAACTGTGAGTTATTTGCAATGACTGTAGCTTTTTCTTCACACGAGTTCAGCTAAATCCACAAGTTACCAAAAAAAAAACAAGTTACCAACAACAACTGTGTCGTCCTGCCCTCTCGTCATTGCTGGATGCTCCAATACAATCTTCAGTTCTTTTCCTTTGAGTTTGCTGTAGTTCATTATTGTTGAGCGCAAATAAAACAAAATTATATCCGCATGTTTGAAATTTTGATCCCTGCTGGCCGTTGTCTACAGCGAGGCAGCTCTCTGTTCAGACTCAACCAGCCGGGCCCAGTGCCTTCCGGTAAGTTCACCAGTCTCATTCTTCAGTGCAGTAAGATAACCTCTGCTTTTTGCAGTCCTTCACGTTACTCATTCACTCCAAACGTTCTGCTAACAGCAATAAATAACTACGAAACAACATAAACTGCGTTAATCACAAGCCTAGAGTACCATCTCATGGTTGCAGACTGTAATGTTTACTCCTTGGTTCATGTCAGTCAATATGAGTCGGTCAGAAAATGCATCATGAAGAGAAAAGAAAAACATAAAAGTCGCTCTGGAGTTAAAGTCGCAGGACCAGTCAAACCATAAAAAAGTGACTTATAGTCGAAAAATACAGTAATACAGCTGAGGGTCTTCATCCCAAAGGTCAGAGAAATGAACTCCATCTCAGATTCTGTCAGCACAGTGGTGGAGTGCTGACGGCTCGGGATCCTCAGTCATTGAGTGAACCATGAACAGCTTTTGATCACCTGTGGTCGGATTAATTTTTAAATCTGTTAAAGATTAGTTTGTATTCATTCTGTCCTCTGAGTGAAACAACACAAAGATGGTTCCTGGTTTCTCCTCTTAGCTAGAAAAATAAAACACATGTGTTGTTTGTTTCCTTCAAGGTGATGTTTGAACTGGCAAAGATGATTTTCTGACCTGCTGCTCCGATATGACCAAACCTCAAGATCCAAAGAAACCAGGTTCCTGTGATCGGACTGAAGTGGAACATGTCATCACAGCCTCATAAGGATCAGAGCTTAATTATTAAAGCTGATTATAAAATGTATTAAATGGACCTCTTCAGACTTTTGTTGTTATTTTAAATGTAATAGATTTTAATAAAGATGAACATTTCAACATTTAAACTCAGCTCTTTTACTAACTCAACCTACTTCACAGTGGGCTGCAGTATTATAGGCAGAAACATGGGTGTGCTATGGACTCTACAGTTTGTTCTGTCGTTGCAAACCTGTACATGGAGGAGGTGGAAAAGAGAGCTTTGGTGTCCTTTACAGGGACACCAATTCTGTAGATAAATATATAAAGTTCACACGAGAGGATGTAAAAAAGGGCAGTTTGGCATCTCAGTCTGATGGAGGATGGTTGGAAACTGACGTACCTAAAACCCACTGACACAGACCAGTATGTGCGTTTTGATTCCCATCACCCACTGGAACACAAGTTAGGAGTCATCAGAACTCTGTAGCACAGAGCAGACAGTGTCCCTACAAACACAGGAGGCAGGGAGGAGAAGTCACACACAAGACAGGCCCTGCAGCAGTGTGGTCATCCTAACTGGGCTTTCCTCAAAGCAGACAAGAAACTCGAACAGGACTCCAGTCAACCACCAGGTGAAAAAGAAGAGCCCAGACCAGTGGTCATTCTGTTCAGACAGTTTCAGAGAAATCATGATGTTTATTTTCTAAACATGACATCCCCGTGGCTTTCAAACCCCAAAACACGTTACGGCAAAGACTGGTTCAGTAAGTCAGTGTTTGAGCTTCACTTCATCCTGATGGACCACAGGTACCACCCATATTGGTTTTTTAACACATTTTGAATTTAGATTTTAAATATTACTTTAGCAGTGTTATAAGCATTAGTCCAAGAGATATACCATGTTTATCTGCATAAAAATACCAGCAATTTTGATGGTACCCCATTAAACTACATCCCTTTCAGGTATATAATAAAGGATTTCTTACAAAATTTAAAGCGGGCACAAAGTCAGAATTCAAGATTAATGCTAAAAATTATGTCCATATAATATTTGACCATAATCGCCAAATCTTTTGCTTTACGTCCGTTTTTTTTTTTTTTTTCGGTACCAAAATGTTAAAAACTGATTGCTTAACTAAATCGAGGCAACTAATATTGAACTTATGAAGCCAGCTGGCATCCACAAAAAGTGTAAAAATCTGAGCTTTATTTTGAAAACTTGGTCATGCACTTTCCCCAATTGTTCTGTCAGTTTTCCTAAACTGGCACCAAAAATATATTCAGACACTCTACTAATTAAAAAACACAAGATGTACAATGTCATTTTTTTATTTTAGTAGCAAACAAATGATGCCAACCCTCTAAATTAATGAAACTGTATATGCCAAATTTCAAATATCATACATATGCCCTACGTCGTATTTAAATTATACATTAGTGTTAAAGTATATTCGAAACTATTGGGCTATTAATGTTGATTAAATCCCATCCATCCATCCATCCATCCATCCATCCATCCATCCATCCATCCATCCATCCATCCATCCCTTTCACTTTATGTCAGGCTGTGGGGGCAGCAGCTTGATCAGGGAAGCCCAGGCCTCTCTTTCCCCACCTCTTCCAGCTCTTCTGGGAGGACTCCAATGTGTTCCCTGGTCAGCCAAGAGACTTAGCCTCTCCAACATGTCCTGGGTCTTCCTTGGGGTGTCCTTCTTCATATTTAAAGCTGAAGAGAAACAACCTGATAAAGAAGACTGGTTCTGTTCTGGGTTAGACAGTGGAACCAAATGATGGTTCAAAGAAGGATTTTACATAAAATCAAGAACATTGTGGACAACCCTGACCATCCTCTTCATCAGACTGTCGTAGAAAAACAGAGTGTTTTCTTCATTTTGGTTGTAATACAGGCCGCTGCCCACAGCCATCACCATCTACAATAACTCTTTAGTTAAATGAGACAACAACACCTAATTTCCCTCTGGGATCAATAAAGTATTTTTGAATTGAAATGAATTTAAAAATAACGTTATGCAGACAGGTAAAGCAAAAGCAATATATACATAGAAAATATTTAGAATACATTTACATGTATTTACAAATAAAAATATAAAACAGAATTAATATATTTTACAATGCTAAGTTGAACACAAGTTCATAAAAATAGTACTAGTAGTGGTATTTAATATGAATGAACCCAATTTCCCCCCCAGACATAGGAAAACATACTAGAGGCTTACTGAAAAAAAAAATCATTTGTAAAAATACCTCTCAACTTGATCTGGTGTTATCTAATTAAAAATGATTACATGAAATTCTTGGATGCCACATGGCAAGCATTTTCATACTTTCTCCAGGAACTATTGTATTCTTAAATATGAAGGTCAGTGTCCACTTCAAATTGAATGAAATAATTCACAGGGAATTTTTTATTTTATTTTTTTGTAATCCAACAAGGCTTTAATTTCAGGTGAATACAGATTCACAGAAGTCATGGTAGAATTCTCCATGTTGTCATCAGATGGTGAAGTTCAAGTTAAATTCAGTAAAAGAGGAAGAAAAGATTTTCAGATGAATGATTTACACACAAAGCTGTGGAAATAAAAGACTTTCAGTTTTAGGGTTTCACTAAAACATTAATAAAAAGTCAAAATAGAGTCATGGAAACATATATATTGTCCACTTTGCTTTGGCAGGCTGTTCTTATGCTCTTTTTTTGAAAACCTACAGTAGAAATACTTATAGATTGTAAATGAGAATAGGTGATCTCAACATATGTACAAGATAAATATATCTTCATACTGTTTTCTAGTAAAATAACCCGTGTTTTAAGTGGAAAAAATTAAGTGCCTGTACGCCCCTTAAAGTCATTTTAAAAATGGGACAGAAACGTGTAATATTCAGTTCTAAATCAAATCCACGAGTCAAATTCAAAGCGTCTGGGAGCACACAGTACCTATTTACTTTTACTCAGTTATATTTCTTTGAAAAAATGAACTTTTAGGAGTGTATGTCCTGATGCATCTCAGTAATCCAGGTAAAAAATCAAAGAAAAAAATTGTATAGGTCTTCTGGACGGGTTCTTCTTTAATGAAACATTTCGTCTCTCTTCCAAGAGACTTCTTCAGTCTGAAAGTTTCAGGCAAAATTCAGGCTTTTGAGTCCTGCCTCCAGGTGACTCATACTCACATCACATGGCCATCGTTCACAGGTGACTGATACTCACATCACATGGCTAAGGTTCACAGGTGACTCATACTCACATCACATGGCCATCGTTCACAGGTGACTCATACTCACATCACATGGCTAAGGTTCACAGGTGACTCATACTCACATCACATGGCCATCGTTCACAGGTGACTGATACTCACATCACATGGCTAAGGTTCACAGGTGACTCATACTCACATCACATGGCCATCGTTCACAGGTGACTGATACTCACATCACATGGCTATGGTTCACAGGTGACTCATACTCACACTATCAGTCACCTGTGAACCATAGCCATGTGATGTGAGTATCAGTCACCTGTGAACGATGGCCATGTGATGTGAGTATGAGTCACCTGTGAACCTTAGCCATGTGATGTGAGTATCAGTCACCTGTGAACCATAGCCATGTGATGTGAGTATGAGTCACCTGTGAACGATGGCCATGTGATGTGAGTATGAGTCACCTGTGAACCATAGCCATGTGATGTGAGTATGAGTCACCTGTGAACGATGGCCATGTGATGTGAGTATGAGTCACCTGTGAACCATAGCCATGTGATGTGAGTATGAGTCACCTGTGAATGATGGCCATGTGATGTCA